AAGTGAAGTCTTTCTGAAAACGCCTGCTCCCGAGAGATGTAAAACTTCATAAAATGTTAGCTGCAGATCCTATAGAAACTTGAACCTTAAACAATCCGCATTAGCACGTAGCTTGTCTGTGTCATCACACACTCCATGGAGTAGACAGTAGACAATCTCTCAGAATAAGTGTGGACTGGGAAGAATGGGGAGTCAAGCTGACCTTTAATCTCTCTTGTAGATCTGATTCTGTAAGATTTGCAAAACTGGATTTTCTAAGAATGTTCTGTAAGTCATCTCTCCACTGAATCCTACTCTTTGATCTTAAAACAACATCTGTTTTCAAATCCATTATCCCATGTCTTTGATTCCTGATCCTTATAGTTAGATAAGCCCCAGTTAACTGACCAACCATGGTACGTCATCTTTTTCAGCCTTGCCTGGCTCCATTTGTGCAATAGCTGAAGACTGGATTGAGCAACACTTTCTTCTCCTTCATGATTTTTATCCCCACAGCTACAGTCCCTGGAGTTAAGGCACAAGTTTTAGGTCACTTGGGGCACAGGAGAGGAAGAAACCCCTTGTTCCAGAGGCAGGTGAGAATAATGCTCAGATTGGGCTCCTTGGAGGATGCGTGGAAACAGAGTGTTCACTCCTAAGAGGTAGTTTCAGAGAATTCATCTATCTCATTACCGCCATCACTACCCTGTTTCTACTGACTTCATAACAAAAATGAAGTCTAATATTGCCTAATATTCCTCTTTCTTTGAGAAGCCTTTATTCCCTGTTCAGCTTTACTCCTCCTTGATAATAGCTAACAATTTTGAAACAAGAAATAGGTATGGATCCTTAATTTTTTTTTCCAGTGAGCTTTTGCTGGTAAACAAATATTTCTCTAAGGCATCCATCAGCTAGTACAATATTCACAATCACTCTGCAATATTGTTAATACTTATTAGTCCCATTTAATTGTTAAGGAAACTAAACCAGAGCATCCTGCACTGTGCCCTGGGTCACACACATGCCTGATCAGCATTACAAAGAAAACGCTATAACAAGGGCCCTGTGATAACTGTCCTTGCCTCTAGAAGTGTTAGGCAGTGGCTGATAGAATGTAACCAAGGTCACAAGACCACACAATGATATCTGTCTCAAGACTTGTTTTCTTGACCAGTATTCATTACCTGTTTGCCCATAGGTGGTTATTCATTTGTTTTAATTCTATATTATATTTAGTATAAGTGTGTGTTGTAGAATTATATGAGGTAAAATAGCAAAATAAACTATACGTATCTCAAAATATTAGCCTACTTCTCTGTTTTGCATTTTCTCACTTTGTATTAGTTCTTTGAAAATTTTCTACAGTATGTTTTGATCATATTCACATGCTTCGCTCTTGCCAGGTCCATACCCCCTTATTTATTACCCTCCCAACTACCCAACTTTATGTCCTTTAAAAAAAATCAAATGCTGTAAGTTCTGCATATACTTTTGGATTTGTGACCTTCTGTTGGAGTGGTCCACCCACCAAGGAACTGCACCCTTTAAGAAAACTGATCCTCTTGCTTCCAGGATATATCAATTGCCATGAGTTCCTTAGCTAGGCGTGGGAATTCATTGCCCTTCCCCTCTGTGTGACAGAGTTTTTGTCTTGCTTGAGCTTGTGAAAGACTTGTGCGTGCTGTCGCAACTGCTGTGAAGTGGTATTTACAACTGCCCTGCTGTGTCAGCAAAATCCTGGATCTATATGTGTGTGGAGAGAGGTGGGAGGAGCCAAACAGGCCTTTGCTTAACCCCAGATACCTTAATAGTTAGTGCTTTTCTTGACACAAGGCATTCAGTAGTCATTAGTCAAACGTGAGTCCCAATTAGGCCAGATTCTCAGGCAGTAAATTCTAGGGAATTGTGCATTTATGACTATTTCCCATCTCTAATAATTCATTCAATGTCTGCATTGTGCAGGCAGGTCTGCTGCTTATGTGTACATTTAATTATGCATCTACATTGCCTAGTACTCTATCTGGAAAATACATATGCAATATATTTAATAAATGTTTTAAAAGATCTGTTATAAATGCATTTGTTTTTAGGGTTCATTCATTAGTGGTCTTTGTGCTTGTCCATATCTTACCTTCACCAAAGTTTGTCTTGTGAGTTTTGGTCTATTTTCCAAGGTCTTTAACTTGTTTTGAGGTTTAGACCCTGCGATACCTCCTCTTGTATATTTTACTAACTTTATATTAACTACAAATTTAATAAGTATGTTATTTGGCTTTTCATATATCTTGCCTTAAAAGCTGTAGATGTGCCTCTTGATTAAGTATTGACCACAGTAACAGAGCCCTAGTTCCTTTTTTCAAGGTCATGAATTAAATATTAATCAGGAAAAGTTATCCCTCCTTTATTACACTTTAATTCTACATATAGCTTCATGTTTCTCCCAAAGTGCATAATCTGGATTACGTATATATCCTAAGACTGGGATCAAAAAGGCCAGAGAAAATAAAAGATCAGAAGGCCTGGAAATAATTAAGCAGAACTGAGAGATCCTGGTTTAGACTATTGAGGGATTCCATGTCAAGACCCAGAATCACCAGTGGACAGATGCCATGCTGGATGCCAATGCATTTCTATACAAATTTTACTGATTTGTTCTAAGACTGCAACTTTGTTCTCAGATTATAACTCATTCACACATTTTTCAGAGTCTGTAGTTACACAATAGCATATACTTTTGGTAAGGCGCAGGCAATTATTTTTCTTCTAGAGCCAGATAGTAAATACTTTTTTTTTTTTTTGACTTGTCAGTTCCCCAGGCTGCATCGCAAGCAATTCAGCTTTGTCTTTGTGACTGAAACATATCCAGTTCAGCATGGAAAAAGCGTGTCTTTATGTCTGTGGCACAAAGAGACTGAAGATCTTGTTTGATCCAAGGACTTTAGATGAAACAAAGATTGCAGTTTTGCCATCCACACATGCAAGCAGAGCTTATGCACACACACACACACACACACACACACACACACACACACACTTACACACACACATATAAGCACAACCACAAACACACATGTACAACCATACATACAATTTTATTTTTAATATTTCCCTCATCCTAGTGTTTTGAGGATGTTATCACTTGCAATTATCTCTTATAAAACATCTCTGTCCCCCTCCACAGCATCCCAATTGCACAGAGAAAAGACTTATTCTCATACAAATCTTCTATTATTTGGGCTTTTGTATACTTTTATGTTTATTTTTAGTGACTCTCTTAAAACATCCTGACACATAAAACACAAACATAGTGTCCTTCCTCTGAGTATATTTTTCAGAGACAACTCCATAAAATCCAAAGAGGGCAGAAATTCAGGGAGAAATGTCATTTAATCCTCCTTCTGAAGATGGAAATAAAAAATAAAATCATGCCATCTCTTTAGAAGGTTAATAAATACTAACTGAAAAACGTAAAGCACATATCATACAGATATTACTTTTCAGAAACGTTTATTTACCTTTTCCATCAGTAAAAATACATAAAATAAGATTTCTCTGAGATCCTGCTGTTAGGCAGTTGTGAATGCTGGTGAAATTGAAACAAAGCTGCTACATATATAAGATCAAAATTACCTCTGTTTTGTAAGTCTTTCTTACAGCACTCAGGTACTTTTGTTATGTAGTGAAAAAAAAAAAAAGAAGAAGAAACCATGCCCTTACTGCTGGTAATTGTATTATCCATATAAGCTGTAAAGCTTCACAGCCATCACAAGTTGTTAATATGCCAGGAAAGTTGGAAAAGCCATGGCACTTCGCATTCACCACGATTGGAAGTTCATTTCCTGGGAAAGATGGGCCCCAGAAGTCTATGGCTCATAGAAACCTGCATTTCATTGTGGTTCTCAGGACCACAGATGTTCTGTAGAGAAGGAGGAAGAAGATGAGCTGGAGCAGGAGGGAAAGAGAGAGAATAAAGGTGAATTTGGGATGGTGGGAAGGTGAGGAGGATCAGGGAGGAGTTGAGGAAGGGGAAAGCAAGACCAAAGTATAATGTATGAAAACTTCCAATAAAAAGTTTTAAAATACATTAAAAACACATGAAGTTGAGAAGGAAACATGGTGGTGGATAACATGGAGGAACTGGAGAGGAAAGAATGGGGAATTACATGTATGTATGAAATTATCAAACAAAAAATGAAATTGTAAGCTCTTTGAAAACAGGGAATTGAAAAGTTCTTTCTTCCCTATTTTCATTATTTTTATTTTTATATTAATCACAGTTTATTCACTTTGTATCCCAGCTGTAGCCCCCTCCTTCATCACTCCCAAGCCCACCTTCCCTCCCTCATCTCCTTTCATGCCCCTCTCCAGGTCTGACTTTCTATAAAGGGGTTGTATTCACGTTGACTGTTTCAGTTATATCTTCCTTGACTGTTTCAATTCAGAGCGCAGCCCATGATTTTGTCTATGTGCCTTTGCATCCTACGCCATGCTCCTTCAGATTAGAGGAAGCCTACACTCTGTCTTCTAACATCTTTTATCAGAATGCTGTTCACGAATATTGAGATCCACATACCTTTGTGTTCTGGTTTCTTTGGTCTCCATCTCAACATTTACCCAATGTTCCTTTCCCATTTTCCTTTAACTGACCTCAATATCTTCTGTACCTTTCTCCAAAAATCCTGTCTGAATTACTAACACATAGCCAGCCTAGGTTTTAGAAATTTTATTACCATATTTCAATGTCTTTCTAAATGTTATATGCCTTAAAAAAAAAAAAAAGCGAACTTCATTTTTAGGGACTATGTTTATTTCTTCAAATATGTGTCTTCATCCAGTCCTGTGTTAGTAGGTTCAGGGATTATATTTTCTCTCTCACATTTCTCAATTTGTCCTAATCTAAGACTACTTTAGTTGAATATTTCACATATCATTGAGATGATTAGTTAATGATTTACATATGTAACCAGCTAATTCTTGTAAATTTTCAAACACGTAGATTATAAACCTATAGGACTCCAGAGTCAATTCAGCACAGCCTTAATCCTTTGCGTGACCCTCTTAACAGCCTCTTTCACTTCCTTATTTCGGAGAGTATAAATAATAGGGTTGAGGAAAGGGGTGAGAAAAGTGTATATCAAGGCAATCAGTTTGTCTCTGCCCTCAGCTCGAATCTCTGGTGGCCCTACATAGACAATGAAGGCAGAGCCAAAGAACAGTGTCACCACAGTTATATGGGAGGAACATGTGGAAAAGGCTTTGGCACGGCTAGCTGCTGAAGGCAGCTTCAGCACAGTTTTCACAATGCCTCCATAGAGTCCCAAGATGAAAACAAGATTAGAGGCATTGATCATACCAATCACTGCAATATAAACCTGAGCATGCCAGGTCGTGTCAACACAGGCCAACTGCATTACTGGTGCCAGGTCACAAAAGTAATGGGCTACTTCTTTCAAGCAATACGGTAAAGTGGCTGTGAGACCAGCAGGCACCAGGGCAGCTGTAAAACCAGCCGCCCATGTACCCCCAACTAGCTGTACCTGTACCTGTCTGCTCATGAGTGCATGGTAGTGCAGAGGGCGACAGATCGCAAGATAGCGGTCCAGAGCCATGACACCCAACAGGTAGCACTCAGTCATGCCCAGGGAGTGGAAGACATACAGCTGGACAAAGCATGCAGCCGATGGGATGGGTGAACGCCCATGGAGCAGGGTATGTAGCAAGGTGGGCACCGTGGTGCTGACATACCAGAGTTCCAGGAAGGAGAGGACACTGATAAAGAAGTACATGGGTGTGGACAGCCCTGAATCTGCCTGAACCAAGACAATGATGAACAAGTTCCCTGCAAGTGTGAGGAGATAGATGCACAGGGTCCCCAGGAAGGCAAGAGGTCGGAGGGTGCCAGTGGTAGCGAAACCAGCAAGGATGAAAGTCTGGGTCCAGGTGTAGTTGTCATGATCCATGATCCCTGGGAATGAGAGAGAAGGCAGTAAATAATCAGCTTTAGGTTTTTTTTCTCTTGAATTTTTTTTCCAGAGCCCAAATAATAAAACACACAAGCCAAGAAATAAAGTCTAGTCTATCTAACTCATTCCCTCTAGTCTATGAAAGAGGAACTGAGTACTAGAAATCAGAAGTGATTTGCCCAATATCTGTTGCTGATAGTGGTAACATAGAGCTCTGGTTCCTTAATTCACAGACTGACATTTGTAGAGTACAGCAGCATTGTCTCAGGACTAGGATTCTCTCCCTTCTGCTTCACCAAGAAAAGAAAGAAAGAAAAAAAGATAGGAAAAATCTTTCTTATTCCCCTATCATTTCTAGTGAACTGTTCCTATGATACTTTGAATTAGTAAACCTTACTATGTACTGGATTCAATAATGGATATGGTAAGAAAAGGAGACTTACTTTTTTTAAATTTTATTTTATTTATTTATTTTATTTCATTTTTATTATTCTCATTAGTTACATTTTGTTAATTCTGTATCCCAGCTGTATCCCTCATTCCCCCCCCCCCAATCCCACCCTCCCTCCTTCATCTCCTCCCTGCCCCTTTCCAGAGACTTACTTTCTTAAGCTGCTAAGTTTCATTGGGGCAGTCTCCTGGAACTCAAGAGTCTCATTAAAATTTGAAAGCGAAAAAGATGGAAAGATGAACAAGACTATCTTGGGAGCATTTCTCAAAGCTTAAAAGACTGGGACAAGACGAATAATCAATGAACTGACAAGATATTTTTTTTCTGAAAGTGTCCTAATGGGAGACTTCAGAATCCTGCAGGGTACAGGGAGAAGGGAGAACAAGGAAGCAAATATCCTCTGAGAGGTGTCAAAAGGAGCCAAAGTAGTACATGTAATGCCTTCTTTCCATAGGTGAAAAATCTAAATTTGGTTTTACCACCAACTCCAAGTGAATCTTGCTCCAAACTACTTCCTCTTTGGTTGAAGTTCTTTAAATGAAGAAGTTTAAGTTAGAGGCTCATGAAGCTTCTTACAAAATATTGGTCCGTGATTCTCTAGTCATTGATTGATGTGTGTTGCGTTACTAATAGAGGATCTACATTAATATCTAAAGCGTCACACCCATACTCCAATGGAAATTATTTAGGAAAGGTAAATGCTGTCTCTTACTTCTCTTCTTCAGCCACCCTTACCTCTTCTCTGCCACCTCCAACCATTACCCCACTGTTTCGGTTTCAATTGAACTTGTCTCAGAGTTCCTGGTATCACTTCTATCTCAAGACACTTCCTTATTTGTAGTTCATGCTCCTGGAAACATAGGTCTCCCACAAACCCCTTAATAAATGTTCCCTGGAGGCGCTATGACTACCTCTGAGTAGTCATGGATTCCTCTGAGGCAAGAAGCCTGGCTCAGAGAAGTCAGTCAGATGAGATGTGTTTCTCAGACAACTTACCTCTGCAATCTTCATTTTGGAATTCTGAAATCTAAATCCAGGGATATTGCCTGTTTTGCAATGACCACATAGCATGCTGTTAAAGAAACAATCCAACTCTCCTATCTTCATTCATGCAGGGAGAATAACAATTTGGGGAACCCAGAATTGGATTGCCTCTTTAAAATTCCATTTGACAGGAGATTTGTCATCACTCAGCACCATTTGCCTTACCACCTAAAAACTTGATCCACATAGGAACCATTTGTTTTATGCTGAACATCTCTACCTTCATCCCACATACCATCACCCACACTGCGGTGGCCACAATTAAGTTCATCGCTCCAACAGCTGCTTACTGGCTATTTAAAATACTATTCCAGGTTTTATTTTACTTTTAGAATTATTGATTTATGTGTATTGTGAATGCATGTGTTTATGTTTGTGTCCACACAGGTAGGTGTCTATAAAGGCCAGAGGAGAGCATCGATCCTATGGAACTGGGGTTACAGGCAGTTGTGAGCAGCCAGAGATGGATTCTGAGAGTTAAACTCAGGTCATCTGAAAAAGCAGCAGGCATCCTTAACTACTCAGCAAATCCCTCTAATGGTCCTAAAATACTATTCAATATGGAGTATTCTAAATTCCCATCAACAGGATTGCTACCAGTACTCAATCCACTCCACCACCATTTTTACCCTGGACAACTCAGAGAGACAAATTCTGTTCTTCACAAAATATTTGTACTCTCACTTTTTTTTTTCAAAACTCCTTATATCATTATCTGAATTTTTATCTCAGCAGAGTACTATCTCTGAGTGTGCATTTGGATAGATTTGGAGTCCAGATAAATAACAGGATAACTGCATTTATTCACAGAGCATGAAGAATTTGACTTATTAATTGATCTAAAGCTACTCTTGCTTTTTAATGTCAAAATAAAAGGCATGAATAATTTAGTAGTTGCTCAAGAAACCTCAAGAGAAAGGAGCAATGTATGACCTTAAGAAACAGATCACATTAAGTGGATAGAAAAAATACTGAATCCCTGAGATTGAAAAAGCTTCATGTGAAACATGCTACGATTTACAGACTCAAAGAAGTTAAGCAACAAGGAAAACACAAGGGATGGATGCTTAAATGTCACCCAGAAGGGGAAATAGAATAGACAGCAGAAGCAACTGAAGAAAGGGAACAAGGCAGGAGAGGGAGCTCTGGCAGAAATGAGGGTGGAGACAAGACTTGGTGAGAGAGGGGCCGGGAGGACAGAGGCCCTATAGAGAGAAGAGAAACCATGGGTGGAGCATCTCTGTAACAAGCTGGAGAACTAAGACAGGGTGGACTTCTGGGAGGATATTGGGGTGACAGTAGCTGAGATGCTTAGTCGCATAACTCAAGGGGAATGAAGACACCACTCTCTAAATAGACTCCTACTGAAGGGAAAACACCAACCCTCCCACAAGAACTTCCAACCAAAATTTACTCTGCCTACTAAATGTGCAGAGATGATGATGAAGCAGAGATTGAGGGAATGCCCAATCAATGCCTGACCCAACCTGAGGCCCACCCAATGAGAGAGAGCCAACCTCTAACACTGTTAATGATATTCTGCCATGCTCACAGACAGGAGCATAGCATAGCTATTCTCTGAGAGGCTCCACCCAGCAGTGGATTGAAGCAGATGCAGAGACTCACAGCCAAACACTGGACGAAGCATAGGGAGTCTTGTGGAAAAGTGGGTGGAAGGACAGAGGGACCTAACAGTGGCAAGAGCTTCATGAAAAGACAGACAGAGTCAACTAACCAGGGCCCAGAGGGACTTGCTGAGAGTGAAGCACCAACCAAGTACCATGAATAGGCTGGACCAAGATCCCCTACACAGATGTAACAGACAGGCAGCTCCAGCTTCATGTGGGTTCCCTAGTAAATGGAGTGAGAGCTGTCTCTGACATGGACTCTGTTGCCTCCTTTTTGATCACTTCCTCCTGGTGGGGCTGCCTTGCCAGGTCACAGAGGAAGAAGACCCCTCCAGTCCTGATGACCTGGGAGGGCCAACTTCTCTTTTTTGAGGAAGGGGAAGAAGGAAGGAGGAGGAGACCTGGAGGAGAGGAGGGAGAAGGCTACTATTAATTACTTTACATTGTGATTAATGAATTCATTAATTAATTGATTCATTAATTAACTTAAAATGTATCTCCTTTTGAGCAAGAAAATTTTTTATGTGACAGAAAATCCATAATCAATACAGTGTGTTGAAAGAAAAGGAAAAGCTTCCTGTGGAAAACTTAGCACTGGAGACAAATATAAGAAGTACATTGTTTCAGAGTGCTAACAGGACTCCAGGATAGACAGTGTTGTATGCTAGTTCCTCTGAAATAATTGACTGTTCTATTCACTGGTTTGGATACTTGCAGCAGTCCTTCAGTACAATGTTGTATCTTCTATAATCCTGAAAAAGAGACCATAGTTTTTCCAAGCCCTTAAAGTGGCATTGTTAATGCTCTGAGCTCTCCTTACCTTCACCATATAAGGATGTGTAGACAACACAAACAGAACGTGATTGGTTTAAATTAAAAAAAAAAAAAGAAGGGGATAAAGAGGACACAAAGTTAGGGAAGTGGGGTAGATCTAAGAGGACATGGGGTAAGGGGTGAAAGAAATCAAAATGCATAATAGGAAACTTTCAATTACCTAAGAAAGATGAGGAAAACAATGAGTTTATGAGTGATTGTAGGCTTCTGTTCATCTAAATATTTTATCATGCTATATTTATAAATAACATGTTATTTTAAAATCATGTCCTAAATGTTACAAAACAGTATCCAGTACAGCTAAAATGTACCTGATAAATATGAAAATGATGTCTGTGCTCATAGGTCATTCTACAGAATAACTGAGCAGGTTTTCATTCAGTGCCCATAGTGCTTACTAATTGCACTTTTCTTTGTTACCTACCATACTAGGGTTAAGACAAAGGACAAATACCCTACATGATGGGATTCTGGGCTTACTCCAAGTTGAGTGTGGGTGATGTGTTCACCTTTAGTACCAGCCTCTTCTCACTGTGCATTCTAGTACAGTCATATTCAGATCCCATTATGGGAGAAGATGCCAAGTCTTAGTATGGATGTTTAGCTACATACATAACATTAGACAGTTACAAAATATGATTCTGTTTGTAGAAAATATACAACCACTTTCTGCCAGAGAGACTCCAATACAGTCTGAGAGACTCCAGTTCACTGAGGTACTATCTGGACACTGAAAAGGCATGTAGAAGGGATGAAGACCCAGTAACATCATACAGAAAATATATAAATGTTGTTCATGTTCTTTGAGAAATACTGTGTAATAATAACATCAACTGTATGTTATAAAGGGAAAGATCCATGGAGGTTTGGAGATTAAAATAGTTGCACAATGAAAGACAAAGGTAGTTTGGAGTTACAAATGGATTTTGGAAAGGCATTTCCCCCATGGAATTATAGGATAGTAACATAATATCTGCCACACTCATTTAATTCCTAAAGATATGTTTATTTATTCATTTAATTCATTTGTCTTTCAAATA